ACTGTAGATCTCAATTTAAACGTGGACAAATTGAACTGTTTCTAATTAGGATCTAAGACAACAAACAAATTCTTGAAAATATTTGATTTGATGACTTTTGAAAATGGCTAATTAATATAATTATCAGTAAGAATTAAAAACAAACAAAAAACACCTGTAATTTTAGAATTGTTTAAAGTAGATACCTGTATGGTTTCAAATGAATTCAAAACAAAAAGAGTAACAGTTTTTGCTGTAATTGTTTTTTAAAAGAGTAAGAAAACACTCCTGAGAAAGGGCCAAGTGCTGACCCTTGAAGAAGACTCTTTATTTCTCGGGAGATTTTCATCTCATCTGATTTAGTAGTCTAGGAATCGGGTTTAGCGGCCTTAGAAATGTGTGTAACTTGATGGTGAGAATATCTCTTGTCTTTCTTTGATAAAACATTTCCTCATTCAATACATTGAAATAGAAACTGGGACATTTAGCCCATATGATGACATCGAAATACTTCGTCATTGTTGTACGTGTTGCCTGTGTACATCTTCAGAAATGGAGGTATGTTCTGGTGATGAGTTTCGTTTGAAAGGAGCCAATGAGGCAGCATAAAAAGAGACAGGAGTTTCAGTAGCGTGCAAGTAAACTTGTTTTTCGAGGAATAGGTTACGGACAGAGAATTCGGATCAGTTATCTGGTAAAAATCTCACTTACTGGTGATGAAAATCCTGAGAAAATTAGGAAAACAAGTTACGGAAGAAAAATTATACCTTTCAAAGAATTTTAAATGAATTACATTTGGTATGGGTGTGCGAAAAAATCTGGATGATATAAATCATTGTCATTCAGACTCTTTATCTTGCGCATTATTAAAAGTAATCTTCAAAGCCATTGTTGAATCAAGACAACTACAAATTTAAACGTATCAGGTAGTTTTATTAGTGACTTTAGGATAAAAAAAATCCTTCCTGGACGACTCATGATGAAGTAGTGTTTATTTTCTATGTGAAGTGATAATCTACCTGGCCAGTTTAATGTTCTAAAACATGGCTCACTTTTCAACAATGCAACAAACTCTATTGAAACTTTAAATTAAAATAAATTAAATTCAAGCTTTTCACTTTTTATGAGCAGATAGGGTGGAAGAAATACTGGCTCCGATTTCATGGTGGAATGTTAATGCCTTGCCTTAAGGACCCAGTGGTGTATTCAATTTGTTTTTGGTTTTGTCCATTTGTGTTGACACAGAAAAAAATCGTGAGGAAAAACGAGAGATTTAAGATTTCTATCACATTTACATCTTTCTCTCATTGTGTAGTAAGAGTAAATATAGCGATGGTAAAAGTGGGACGGATTTCTGAATCAGATACATAACAACTTGTCTAAGTTTTCAACAGATACAGATAGATTCGCGACGGTTACAAAGGGAATCAACTCCATGACATTTTAGTGTTGTTTGAGGAACAGCTTGTAGTCGCCCATCGCTTTGTTGTTATCAGAAACAAAAGATTGGTCGTGAAATAGAAAACTGATGAAATCTCATTTGTAGGTAAAAGTATACTAGTTCAACGAAACAGACAACCGATAAAATCTCCTGTCTGTATGTCATCAGTCGCAGGAACAAATAATGTCTCTGGGATGACCGGCAAAAAGATTCCCTAAATGTAAAGAAACTGAAAAGTATACGTCGAATCAAAATTTTACAAAGGAACAAAAATGGAGGCACTTTTATTTATTATGTTTATCTAGAAACAACCTTGTCATCTGGTTCGATGAGTACGAAAACTTAACTAAAAAAACACAAAAGAAAACGAAAACTATCTGAAATGTAAACGCGAGTCTGGAACAAAAAGGGAAGGTCTCTTTTGAGGGGGTCATCTTTTGTGTTTGATCTTTGATTACAGTGTATAATATAATGTTACGCAGATAAATCTAAAGTTTGCTCTTTTGGATGGAAATCTTGCTTCTTAATTTCTTATTTATTTTCTTTTTTCCGAACTTGATATCTAGATTAAACCTTCGTCCCTTTCCCATCCCTATTGAACTCTCCTCCATATTGATCTGGATCAATCTAATAGTCTCTGATAGGGGTGGGAGCATTGTGTTTTGGGGATGGTATCAGTTTAGATCAAAACTTTAGAAGAGTTTGGTACAAAAACTGGCCATCTTTCTGCACCAATTTCACCTTAGCAACAAGGGCAGTTAACTCTTTGATAATGAGGATCAAATGAAGACAATTGAGACTTGTAATCCACATGTAAACAGAGATTTATTGATATATAATAACCAGAAATTTCCTTCTTCACATTTTAGTACACGCAAGAAACCACCATCCAAACGTATGACATTGTTTGAACTTTTAATGTCCTTTATTAAAAGGAGGGGGAGGTTTAAGGAGGGAGAGAAGTGGGGAAGGGAGAGAGGGGAGTGAGAAAAGAGGATGGGGAGGGGTAAAAGCCAGGTTGGGAGGTCTTGGTAAAAATCATTTTAAAAGATAAAGTGGAGATGAGAGGATAGATAAAATTATTATTAACGATGAACTAATCAACTTACCATTGATATGATTAAGAAGGAGGGGGAGTATATTACCAGTACAAGTAAAGAGCCGTCTTGTTTGAACCATTGCATGTATCAATAAAAAACTTGCAGTTTTGAAATAAAAAGTAACACAAGAGCACAGCGTAAATAAAACTGTAATTAATTGAAGATAGTTAATCACTTTGGAATGAGGCCGGGACTGGAATTCTCTTTGAGTTTTACACCTGATTGAACAAGCGGCCATATTGCTTAGTTACCATGTAATCGTGGCAACTGTCTCCGGTCAGGTCCAGCTGGTCTTCAGCATAAACACTTACTCCTCATCACATGTTACATTATCGTAAAACACAAACTCAGTACATGTCAACCTTCATGGGGCCCTATAGGGGCATTTATTGTAGTCCTGCAGGACTCAAAAATTCTATTCTCAGATTTTAAAAAAGTGCCAGTATTTTTTTTGTTGCAGGAAATAAAAATTGTTTCTGGTGTATATTGCACTTCATTTTATAACTTTTTATTTTCTTTTTTAATATAGATTTTTTGAATTCACAATTCTGATTTATTTTTGATACCCCTTTTTTTATTGTGTACCTAAATTAAAAGTTGCATTGCTGATCATGTTACTTTTTAATGATGCTGAGAAGTTAGGCAGAAGCAGTGTCGTCAGTCTGGTGACAGCTGACTGGTCTCTTTCGTAGTGGACACTGATGGATTGACCATTAGTTCCCAAAGAATTCAAACGCAGCATTGACCAAGACACCAATTTTTGATGACAAATCATAGGCCTGATACAACAGAGGAATTCCCTTTTCAAAATGATTGATTAAGTTACTGTCAGTGTTTTTGCTTTTCTTTCAGTCTGTTGACATGGATTCTTTTAACCTTTTTATTCTTTTTGTGTTCCCATGTTTGCCTATTATAGCATTGACAAGGATTTTATTAAACCAGGCATGAAAGAATAATTTCAAATTTCCCTTTATGTAAGTTTATTGTGAGAGGAAAAAAATGCAATTTTTCAATGTTCCCATCAGAAAAGAAATTTTACAAAGGAAATAATTTTCTTTTTTTGCGGATTAATAAATATCAAAAAATTAATTTGATTCCTATAGAAAAACGTTTTTTCGTAAAATATTTATTTAAAAGGTTTTATAATTAGGCTATTACCAGTTAGAACCAATACCTGGAATCACATTATCACAGTAAGGTAGAAGAAGAAAAGGAAGGAAGAAATAAATTGCTCAACCCTTTCAAATTTTGGTTCAGATCTTTATGTTTTGCCTGGTATAAAAAATAACAGCACAAGTAAGACACGTTCTTCTGTGTTCACTTGATTGCCATTGTATAAACCGCAAAACGAAAAACAAAAAAATATGCATTTCAATTCTCTTCAATCTGCATATTGAAGACAAGTGTTGTCTTTGATGAGCTATAAAGTTTCAGATATTTTAGAAATTTAGAGTGGAGAGACATGGCATTATTTCCATTCTTGTCCAGGGCTTGGTGCGCAAGGGATCTATGATGAGATGGATGGTGATTTGTCAGACAATGCTCGCTGTTGTTATTTTTATTTGAAGTTCTTTGTTTACTGTGATGGCCGTTTCGTAATGATCGTGAATAAGTAAAACAGACAACTTGTTAATGTACCGGTAAAATTTATCTTCCCTAAGTGGAAATTTTTCCCTAACTGTATAGGTGGTTTTTTTAATGCTTTACTCCAGAATGTAAATATTTCCTATCCATGCTGACAGGAAAGTAACGTTTTTTGTTAAGTTTTAATTTCGTATGCAATATTCTTACCAGTAAATTAGACTGACTCGACTGAAATGATCCTATCTTTCTGCCTTCCTGACATCTTTAAACAGCGTTAAACTATCAGCTAGATATATGGCCCATAATTCATTCACCATTAAATGTTCATGGGCTGTGTTGACATCAAATGCCTTTATCAATGACATCTTGAATATTATGTGAACTTTTTTTTATTTTCCCTTTCAACCTTTCATTTTCATAATTCCCTTCTTTGGTATTAAGAGATACAGGTAAAATCCATCATTATTCTGATGTGGTGAGGATTCAGTTTCAGGTTTAAGAACATTATCAGAGGGTATTTATGGGACAGATTTTTCTAGAGTATCGTAGCAAACTATATCACGGAATAATCAGCTACTTAATTTAGCATTAACAGCAGGTGAAAGGAACGCACAGTTAAGATAGTAAAAAAATGGACTTTTTAAGCTAACTTTTATATGTGATGAGCACTCGTTATGGAAATATTAAACGATTAAACTCATTTTTCATTGTTCTCTTTTATGACGAGCGGACACTTTTAAAAGATCTTTTTTTTTGAAGAGGAGAATTGTGCCGAAATGTTTTCATTGAATAGTTTAAGCGTGAATTGTGTGGTCACGGTCGATTAATTGGTCTTACCCGGGGTGTATACACGAGAGGCCGAGGATGAGAGAGTAGTATGTACACATCCCTACAAACCTCCACAGTTGCTACCCACTTGGTGTTTGCTCAATGCTATTATTGTACACGACGATTCAATCGGCTGTGGTGAATTTTTTCCTGGTGGGACAGTAATTGGCATGTCACCGAGATCATTGAGTCGTGTTTAATTTTTTGAACTGAGAATCTGAGGGAGCTTGGATGTATGTAGAGGAACAAAAAATGATTCTGATACCAAGTAAACAGAAACGTGACAAAATGAAGCTCATTGACATTGAGAAAGATAAAGAAACTGATTCAGATGAAGACAAAGTTTCCAGTCCCCGGACCCGTGATCAGGAAACCCATCCTAGTTCTGACCGTCGCAAAGGTTAGACAAATCAAGTGATAATTTATATATATATTAAGTAATTACTGATTAATTCATGATGATGATGAAGAGTGCCTTCTGATTCACTTAGCTTACTAATATTGGGTATTTTTCTCTCTCGTTTCTGCTGTGCACATATATTAAAAAGTATGTGGTATTCATCAATATTATTAAATATTGATATAATTATTTATATAAAATTTTAATTTTCAAATTATAAAAATCAATGTTTATAATATTTTTATGTTTTCATTGGTGAAGAATGATTTTTGTGAAGTTATAACTGATCCATAACTTTTTTTTTAGATATTCTTATTATTCCTGATTAGATTGATTTCAGTGCTGATTTAGCTGAAGATTTACCTACATTTTCTGAATTTAATTACCAGTATTTCTAAAGTTAACATGGAACAGAACAGAATTAATTTAAACTGTTTACAATAAATACCCAGACACATTTCTGCTATTCTGAATGTCATTGTTACAATACAAAATAAATTCTAAAGCTATTGCACAGGGTGGTGGAAACCATTTATCAAACTCAACATTTTTACAGTTATAACTTAATCAGATCTACATGTAAAAACTTTAGCCTGTTAAACACAATCAATTAAAAAAATGTCATAAAAGAGAAAGAATTCCGTCATTTTAACACTAACTTCCATTGTCTTATCTCCGGGGAGAAGATTTTACGCTTGAGGATTTTGTTTTGTGAGCTAAAAAGGCTCTGGTAGATGGAGGGATAAGGAATTTATCTTATTATCAGATAACAGGAGGAGGGGGGGGGGGGGGGGGGGGGGGGGGGGGAAAGTCAGTGATCCTGCTCTGGAGGACACCTGCATGGGGGACAATTCTTAATTCTGACAGTCTTCCATTTTTGGTTTAAATTGGCCCAGTTATCTGTGGAGGGATCTTACTGCAGCTCCGGGGCAGTCATAACTATACCGTGTACAATACAGCAAGTACACCAATGGATACAAATAACAATTACTGTCTGATGGTTGAAAACCAAATTAAACTTGTCACTTACATTTTAAATTTCTAGATGTCTTAACCTCTTTTTAAATTGAATACATTAGTACATGGTATGGCTATAATTTCATTTCCTTTTTTTTTGTCAAATCATTTATCTTGTCATAAGATGATTAAATAATTATAACTGTAAAAACTAATGTTTATGTCTAAGCGAGTAAAAGGCCAAGTTTATTTTAGCACTGTAATTGATATATAATTGGTATACATAGGTGTACCTACCTGACCTCTCACTTCTGTCCGGACCAATGAAACAAATGATCTATTGTAGTTGTCTCGTCGCAGCACCAGTTGAAAAGGTCAATTAGAAAAAAAGAAAGGGACGTTTTTATAAACAGATATGTTGTGAAGATTTAACCTGTATCAGGTCCCTATTACAAGTGACCTCTGTATGAAGGTGTACCCTGTATCAGGTCCCTTTAACAGGTGACCTCTTTATAAAGGTGTACCCAGTATAAGGTTCCTATAACAGGGGACCTCTGTATGAAGGTGTATCCTGTATCAGGTCCCTATAACAGGTGACCTCTGTATGAAGGTGTACCCTGTATCAGGTCCCTATAACAGGTGACCTCTATATGAAGGTGTACCCAGTATCAGGTTCCTATAACAGGGGACCTCTATATGAAGGTGTACCCTGTATCAGGTCCCTGTAACAGGTGACCTCTATATGAAGGTGACCCTGTATCAGGTTCCTATAGCAGGTGACCTCTGTATGAAGGTGTATCCTGTATTAGGTCCCTTTAACAGGTGACCTCTATATGAAGGTGTAACCTGTTTCAGGTCCCTATAACAGGTGACCTCTGTATGAAGGTGTACCCTGTATCAGGTCCCTATAACAGGTGACCTTTATATGAAGGTTACCCTGTATCCGGTCCCTATAACAGGTGACCTCTATATGAAGGTGTACCTTGTATCAGGTCCCTATAACAGGTGACCTCTATATGAAGGTGACCCTGTATCAGGTTCCTATAGCAGGTGACCTCTATATGAAGTTGTACCCTGTATCAGGTCCCTATAACAGGTGACCACCATATGAAGGTGTACCCTGTATCAGGTCCCTATAACAGGTGACCTCTATATGAAGGTGTACCATGTATCAGGTCCCTATAACAGGTGACTTCTATATGAAGGTGTACCCTGTATCAGGTTCCTATAACAGGTGACCTCTATATGAAGGTATACCCTGTATCAGGTCTCTATAACAGGTGACCTCTATATGAAGGTGTACCCAGTATCAGGTCCCTATAACAGGTGACCTCTATATGAAGGTATACCCTGTATCAGGTTCCTATAACAGGTGACCTCTATATGAAGGTGTATACTTTATCAGGTCCCTATAACAGGTGACCTCTATGTGAAGGTGTATCCAGTATCAGGTCCCTTTAACAGATGACCTCTATATGAAGGTGTACCCTGTATCAGGTCAGTATAACAGGTGACCTCTATATGAAGGTGTATACTTTGTCAGGTCCCTATAACAGGTGACCTCTATATTAAGGTGTATCCAGTATCAGGTCCGTATAACAGTTGACTCTGTATGAAGGTGTACCCAGTATTAATTCCCTATAACAGTTGACCTCTTTATGAAGGTGTACACTGTATCAGGTTCCGATAACAGGTGACCTCTATATGAAAGTGTCCCCAGTATCAGGTCCGTATAACAGTTGACTCTGTATGAAGGTGTACCCAGTATCAATTCCCTATAACAGATGACCCCTTTATGAAGGTGTACACTGTATCAGGTTCCGATAACAGGTGACCTCTATATGAAAGTGTACCCAGTACCAGGTCCGTATAACAGGTGACCTCTTTATGAAGGTGTACCCTATATCCGGTCCCTATAACAGGTGACCTCTATATGAAAGTGTACTCAGTATCAGGTCCTTATAACAGGTGACCTCTATATGAAAGTGTACCCAGTATCAGGTCCGTATAACAGTTGACCTCTGTATGAAGGTGTACCCAGTATCAATTCCCTATAACAGATGACCTCTTTATGAAGGTGTACACTGTATCAGGTTCCTATAACAGGTGACCTCTATATGAAAGTGTACCCAGTATCAGGTCCGTATAACAGGTGACCTCTATATGAAAGTGTTCCCAGTATCAGGTCCGTCTAACAGGTGACCTCTATCTGAAGGTGTACCCAGAATCAGGTCCATATAACAGGTTACCTCTATATGAAGTTGTACCCTGCATCTCGTCCCTATTACAGGTAACCTTGTATGCAGGTGTTACATAAGTAAAGCAATGCTTTACAGGTTTACTGTAAATTGATGTCTGCGGAGGCAGTGTAACAGGTGTTCTCATTATGTGGATATTTTCAATTGTATATCAATTGTATAGTAACTTAAGTATATACCTTCTGATATAACTGACAGGCTTCTGTATGCACCAAAACAGGAAGTTTCTGCAAAAGACAAAAGTCCTAGCAATAGTATTGTATGTCAGAGAGCCAATCAGCGCTTAAGGAACTTACAGATTCAGGGCACATTTTTATCTATTGTAGAACATGCTTGTTATTATATCGGAAATGGGCTGGCACTGGGATCATCCTGTTACCCCTGTACTTTTTCACATCTCTCGTTTTCCCTTTATAAGACCACTGACTGGCCCCTGCACTAACCCTACCTTCAAAGCCTCTCTGGACCCGTACTGGGGTCACCAAGTTTTAATGCAGCATTTTTAATCAGACTAAATGAGTGCAAACATTGTTCTTGGAGATGAATTCAGAGATAAATTTTCACTTTCCATATTGCTGGATAATTTGACAAGATGAGATAACACTTCATCATGGTAATCTTAAGCCAGGAGAACAACAGTAATTTCTTATAGCGGCTAGCAACATGTTGTCAAAAGCTTTGGTTTGGAATCCGATGAAACAGTTCTGTGGAGGAACTGTAGACTTAAAAGAATCACTAGAGAAGTCTGACAGCTAGCAGTCCTGGTTTTTTCGTTTGGGTTCGCAATTCCTCTTTGACTTTTTGACTTTAAAGCCTAAAAAATTACGGGAAGGAAATATATTGATAAAGTGTTTAAAGAGCATTAGCTTATCAAAAAATTATCATAGTATGTCAGAGTTTCAGAAGTTGTTTATAGGCCCTCCTGCTGTCCGGCTGGGGCTTGAAATGAAAGTACATGTGTTATCCCTACGGTGAGGTGCTCACCCAACAGTCAAGATAGATCCTCCGTCAGATTACGCTAGGAAATTGAAGCAGAAAACATTTATATTAAAAATCAAATTTGTGTGCCATCAGGCGGATTGAGGGAACAGGTGAGGGTTGGGCCCCGTAGGAGGTAGGGACACTTATCTCATGAGGGGTCAGGCCGGCTGCCAGATCCCTACCCTGCTCTCTGTTGTCCCAGTATCCGGAGCATTCAATTCCTGCCAAAACCTTACGCTATCTAGCTACTATCACCTACTCCATAGTAAGTAAAAGTGAAAGATTGCCTGCAGAGTTACAACCAGCAGAAATACGATAGCAAGCCTAATACACTGTCATATTCTACCGACACTTCACTTGCGCTGCGATAGCACTGCGTTAAAAAATGAAAAATGTATGTATATTTCTTAAAGTAGGAGAATTTCCTACTGTGCTGAAGGGAATATAGAAACGAAAAATAGGTTAGGACGTTCTTATCTGACGAAGTTATTCTGATGAATTATCGTAATTGTTGGTGTCTTTTGGATGGAAATCGTCAAATGTTACAGCCAGGATGGGAGTGTGAATAGCTCGAATGAAACTAAACAGGTTTTGATATAACAGGAAGGTGTGGTTTTTATATAGACTCTTAAAAATGTAATCACTTATCAATGACTTATCATTGCCATAATACTCCATGTTTTTATTTTCGAAAAAATAAACTTCTGATACGTAGAATTTAGTTTCCTGCTTTATTGCGAATATTTTCTCCCTACAACTCTAGTTTCTTACATGAAAGGAAAGGCATGAAAAAAGAGCGATTAT